TATCTAAATAATTCAAACATATATGGGTTTAAATGCTAGCCCAAAAGAGAAAACAATCCAAAAGAGAGAAAGATCTTGACCCAAAAAACATCCGACCCAATATCKATTTTAACCGGATCCAAGTCAAACCCAAGAACCGAAACCGTCCTACCCGGATCCAATATTTTGACCTGACATAGGGCTGTTGACGACAGCCAAGTTTTYAGGTCATTTGGCCTCATTTTTTGACCGTTTTCGTTGATTCTTTTTGCTAAAACTCTAGAAAATATTTTCCTCATCCATAAGAACAATAATCAACGGAAACAATCAAATATTGAGTCTCATTTACTTATTTAAAATTCAGATCCTAAATCCACTCGAAAATCAGTAAAAAAAACACAAAATCGAATCTCCAAAACTAAATATGAGACATAAGACTATTAAGGTTCCATAGAGGACSTAAAATGAAGCTAACCATATAAAAAACTCGAAATTTGGTTGAGTATTTTACCTCCAATCGTCAATAAACGGAGCTTTTCGAACTCGAACTTCAACCTTCGATTTCTCTTTTCAAACCCGACGAAACTTCGATTTTCTTGCACCAGAAATGTAAAGAAAAGTGTTGGCTACATATATCTGAAACTTTTTTGTCTTAATAGTTGAAATTTCGAATCAATAGGAAGCTTCAAAGGAGTTGTCGTTTTCAAAATTYTGAAAATAATTAGATATATCCTTTGTCATAACAGGTCCCTCATGTATGARGAATTTGCTATCTGACYATGCCYCTAAACTTTAAGAAAATGACMCTCGCCCCCTGACTTCAATACTTTGGCTAGATTTACACTTTTCACCYTTAATCAGATGTTTTCTTTCATTTTTAGTCCTATAAGATCKTTTCTTTTCACTTCTCACTTTCATTAAATGRCATGATTGATCCCTTTTCACTTTTTTCTTCATAATTTTGGCCCACGAAAATAAAAATCAATGTTTGTTCTTTTTTCTTTTCATATTTACTTACTGACTCTGTTTTTGGGGTGTCACAGTTCTCAACTCCAACCCACCATTAAAGCATTAAAAATGRAGGTAAAAAATGTTGGCTTTTATATTTGTGAGGTCAATAGAATTTGCCTCTACTTATAAATAATARCATAATTAAATGATGAAATAATAACTTACATTCATAATTTTTTATTTTATTATAGCATTGTACTTTCAGTTTTTCTTATTACAAAAATRTACTTTCAAAAATTGTTTTTAATTATGACATTGTACTTTRAATTTTTTACCTATTATAACATTGAGTAACTTTTTGTTTTGAATTTACCATTATATCAGAATTTCATGCCACCTCACGGTCCACATAGGTTGTCCACATCACATRTACTATAATGTTGACGTGTCATTTATTATTACAACATTGTACTTTYAAAATTATTTTATTATAATATCATTAGATCTATTACAACATTATACATTTAGTTTTAATATTTTATTATTTAGACATTGTACATTTAATCAAAYACATTTACCTAAATTTAGTATCCATTTTTAATCCAAAATTTTAATTAAAAAAATTAGTCTCTCAAAATCGAGAGTATAACAATCATTGACCTTTAAATTTGAATTAAGAGAACATGATATAAGTTATAAGATTTCCAT